GGGTTCCCCCTCTTTTTTTATCTTTTTTATTTTATTTTTCTTCATTTATCTCAAAAATAAGATTATAAAAATTATATAAATTCTCATAAAATCACATAATTAGCCAAAAAATCACCTCAACCAACTGAAGACCACTTTTCACAATTTAACATAAATATAAGTCTATTTATCATGAGTTAAGGCTAAAACTATATTATTTATTAATTATTAACTCATGATAATGAAGACTTATCAAGGCCCGAAGCCCTAAAGTCTGAATACTGTAAATCATACGACTTGTAGGCAAAAATTGCCAATCAATGGCTCTGAATACTTCCATAATCAAGGTGTGAGGGTGACATGAGTCCGTAATGGACCTACTGCGGGCTTCTAGAAATAGTTGCCGCTAGCATCTTTATGTGTAACCCTCTAATTATGCCACTGATCCTCTAGATGGGGGGCGGGTAGAAATAAATATGGTTTTGGAAAATTCTAAACCTCGACAACTTCCCGACGTTCTCCCTCCGCATTAGTCCCCCCCCCCCCCTTCCCCAGCCCCAGCTCCATCTGGAACCAAACAGTATTACCTCCGTCTGCCCCCTCCTCCCTCCCCGGCCCCAGCTCCAGAGCCGGAACCGGAACAATATTACCTCCGTCTGTGCGACGACGGTGGGGCCCGAGTCTTGCAGAGTGGGTACCTTCCACGAAACGCCTTCCTCTCTAGGTACCTTCCCCAAGTCTTGCGGATTCGTCCACTGGATTTCCTAGATAGCAGCTTTGAGATCAGAACTCTGAATTTATGTAATCTTTGAGTTTTCCTTCATGTGTAAATAGTCAAACTCACGTGTGAATCCATAAACCAGCGACTTGATATTTTTCCTGTATCGTTTGTAATTTTCGCACATCAGTAACTCTCTTGTTCTTGGGTGGATATAAATGCTAAATGAGTGCTTTGCTCTACTTTTCATGCAGAATGGAAGCTGATGAGATCGTAAGCTCGATCAAGAACCAACTCCCAGTATCGCTACATCAAGTCGCTGGTTTACCAGGGCCTAGCATCTTCAAGGTACGACCTGATCTCAGGAAAGAGAACCTAGGAGTCTTCGACCCCAAGGTTATCTCCATAGGGCCATACCATCATGGCAAGCCCAGCCTAGCACCTATGGAAACGGTAAAACGAAGGCTCGTGAAGCAACTGCTAGATCGATGTGTTGCAGGAATATTGGAACGGTGTGTCACTACTGTACTTGGTGCCGAAGTCTTGGTAAGGGCTGAATATGCTGCCAAAATTTCTCAAGAACGACAAGAATTCGTAGAGCTCATGGTAATTGACAGTTTCTTCTTAATAGAGTTTATGTGGCTCTATCACCTCGGAAGAATAGAGCATTTGGCATGTGAGTTGTCCTCGGTAAATTGCAGCATTTATCTCGTAGTAAACGACTTGGTGTTGATCGAAAATCAGATTCCATTCTCAGTGCTGAATCGTTTACGTCTCGCCATTATGAACCACCACAGAGATAGATTATTTGATCCCCTGCCATCTTTAATACAGTTGGGAAGTTGCATTCTGAAAATGGCAGGCTTAGAGGTAGATACTGAAATTTTCCACCTTTTGGATCTCTCACACTCCTCTTACAAACATGTGCACAACATCTCTGATTTTAGGCACTTAGGGTTTTCAGAAAACATCCCTTGTGCTAGAGAGTTACAAGAAGCTGGTGTGAGGCTGAAGAAAAGAGGGTTTGTTGGTCATTATACAAAAAATTTACTTAGAGCGTCATTCAAGAATGGGACTCTAGAAATCCCCACCTTCTCTGTGGATGAGTCTACACATTCTATTTTTAAGAACCTCGTTGTCTACGAACAGTGTCGTCGTGACAAAGAGAGCCCCTTCACCAGTTATGCGCTCTTCTTAAGTAACATCGTGACCACTGAGGAAGATGTTGCGATACTTCGACAGCATGGAATATTAAGGAGCAAGCTGGGAAGTGATCAAGAAGTCGCTCACATTTTCAGCACAATTTTAAAAGGAGTACGATTGAATTATGACAGACATCATTATGTTGAGTTGTTTGCAGATGTGAATAAGTTTTGTCAGTCTGTTTTACCCAGATGGAGGGCAGCACTGGTGAAGGACTACTTCAACAATCCATGGACGAGTATTTCTGTCCTCACAGCCATCTTGGTTCTAGTATTTTCTGGACTGCAGACAATTTATACTGTTCTCGATCATTATGGAGGATAGACCATACAAAAAGGAGATGATGGCATCATTGCAAAAAGGAGACTATTCTTTTAGTATTGTGATAATTGGAACAATTCTATTCATTTTACTTGTCAAAGTCTATTGATTTTCTCTCAGTGATGATTGTACATAATTGTCAAATCGATGAATGACTTGATCTACTCATTGGTTTGTACTGAAATTTTCCTCGTGTTTTGTTGGAGCAATCATCACCCTTGGCCTATTGGTCAAGGTGGCACTCGATGATAAATGAATCTAAACCTTTGAAAAGGTGATCATCACACCTTGAAGGCCAATAGGAGCACATCTATGTCTTCCTGGCTTCTTATTTATAATATAGTTTTCTGATACAGATCGTATGACAGTAATTGACTATGTTATTCATTGGTTTGATATCTACAAGACGAGAAGACAAATAAGCATCAGCTCTGAATAAAAACCAGTGGAAGTGATGGACAAAATTCTCCACAAAATGTATTCCCTTCTGATCTCAGCTACATCACCTTTGAAGGTGGTTTCGGCTGAGAATAATATGGGAGCCAAATGTGAAAAATAACAAATAAAGAAAATGAAGATAATTTCTTTTGAGAGTCAAAATTTCAAAAAGTTCGACTATCAGAGGCCCATGATGAGCCCATGTCTCTTCACCTCATTCTTTGAAGATCTAGAAAAAAAAAAAAAAAAAATCTAAATTACTCAAATATTGTCTGAAATAGAAAGTTTGAAACAGACGATATTATTAGCAAAGAAACCATCTTTTTAATGGTTCCTTAAACCCGCCGAGTTTCTTAGGTTGATTTACCGCCAAGTCTATACTGTGGTCGTTTCAGCTGTCCTGATGAGGAGCAGCCTCCTGCGTCCACGACAAGGGCGGAGAAGCGAGTCTTGTGAATCCACATGGCACTTGACAGGCTCCGGGTTTCTCTCTCTCTCTCTCTCTCTCTCTCCCCCCTCCCCCCCCCCCCCCATAACGCATGGGTTTAAGGCCCATTCGTGGGCTATGAAGCTGAAGCTTCTTCTTTGCTGCCGTGTGGAAATGTCCCAGACAGCAGTGGAAATGTTTTATGAATTTTACACTAGGAAATAAAAAGGAAATATATTTAAGATTCACGAAAAAGGGAAATAAGGGCGCGGACGTCAGGATGACGTCGGCGCCCGGCAAGCGCGAATCGGGCGGAAACAGAGTTCCGCCCGGCGATTCTTACGTAAGCGATTACGGACGATTTAATCGATCAAATTAAGATCTGTAAGAGCCGGAAGAATCGTAATAGAACAAAGTATATTTTGGTAAATTAAAAACACAAAAATTATCACTAAATGAAGCGTAAAGTAAATTGAAAGCAGGAAAACAGAGTTCCGGCGTCGCGACGGCGATGCGTCGGCGATGCACCGGAATCCTGAGCGTTCGGGAGGGTCGTCGTGCAGTGTCCACGGCCTCGAAGGCTCTCCTTGGACAAAGACGACGTGGGCAATCTCTAGATCTTCTCGCGAAGTCTAGAGATCTGCTGCGGGAAGGACCACGAACGGCCACCCGTGCATGACGCACCAAGACCGCGCGCTGCGAGTCACATGTGGATCCGCGAGAATCGGCTTCTCAGCCCTTGTCGTGGTGGCAGGCCGCAGCTCTGCAACAGGGAAGGTTCAACGGCCGGGGAAGGATCCCCGTCCAAATTATCTGTGCTGGAGAAGAACCTCTGACGGTCACCCGTGCAGGAGGCACGACTGCGCGCTGTGAGAATCGCTTCTCCGCCCTTGTCACAGATAATTTGGACGGGGATCCTTCCCCGAAAGTCCATCTTGCGGCTGTTGAACCTTCCCTATTGCAGAGCTGCGGCCTGCCACCACAACAAGGGCTGAGAAGCCGATTCTCGCGGATCCACATGTGACTCGCAGCGCGCACAGTCTTGGTGCGTCATGCACGGGTGGCCGTTCGCGGTCCTTCCCCGCAACAGATAATTTGTTCAAACTCTCTCTCCCCCCGCTGACCCCTGCTCCATACCCCAGGTCTCGTATGTCCAACCACCCTCAACCATTACCTGGTAAGTCTGCTCTTCCCCCATAGGCGTTGATCTCAAAGCTGCTATCTAGGAAATCCAGTGGACGAATCCGCAAGACTGGGGAAGGTACCTGGAGAGGAAGGCATTTCGTGGAAGGTACCCACTCTGCAAGACTCGGGCCCCACCGTCGTCGCACAGACGGAGGTAATATTGTTCCGGTTCTGGCTGGAGCTGGGGCCGGGAAGGGAGGAGGGGGCAGACAGAGGTAATACTCTCCATCTTTGCAAAAAATACATCCAAGCGACTTCAACCATTGCCTGGTAACTCTCCGATCTCTTCATCCTCCATCTGCCGCCGGATTTCCTCCTTGAGACGCCATCTTCTTGTTATTAAATAGTTTACTATTTGGGGGGGGGGAGGGTGCAGGCAGCCTTCGGCACCAAATCATTCCTTTCACAACCATTATAGAAAATAGTCTATGATTATTGGAGATTTGATCTCATTTACTTTTGTATTTTTGGCCTTGCAATCTATCGATTACTGAGATTCATACCAAAATAGAATGGAATCATCATCAGTTTCTTTTGTTGTGAAATATTCATACTGAGCCATGCTCTCTCTGTAAAACATTAATTATAGTCGCTCGATTTACGTTCTGCAGATCTCGTCTCATACTTTTACACAAAGTTGTGAATAAGCTGCAACCAAGGCTTATTAACCTCGAAGAAAACGACCCCTGGTGACACCAAAGGCACCGTATGGAAGCTTCAGTAGAGCACATGCTGACTCGACAACTATGGTCCTCTATCGAAAATCAAGTCATTCAGACAATACATTTTGGCGATGATCTCCCTCATAAGCATTTTAGCTACAGAGTGCGCACCCGCGTTAGGGATGAGGACCCTGGTGCATACTCTCCGAAAGTTCTCCCCCTGGGGCCATTCCATCGTGGTAATCCCTCATTCAAGAAGATGGAAAAGCTTAAGCGGAAATTTACAAGCAACCTGCTCAATCGGAGTCATCTCAACTCTATCGATGAATATGTGGCTGCGATGAGGGGAGCTGAAGAACGTGTGAGATCTTGGTATCCTGAGGTACATGATATTGACAGCAATGAGTTCGTAGAGATGATGGTCTTTGATGGCTGCTTCCTCATTGAGCTATTTTTAAAGTTCTATCGTACAAATGAAATGCATCAATTGAGGCAAATATTCTTTCAGGAAGGCATCACAATTGATGTAGTGCGGAATGATTGCCTCATGATAGAGAACCAGATTCCCTTTTTCGTGCTTAAACTACTCTTTGAACGCTCCCACATCGTTTGGCGAAAAGGTGTTGATCAAAAGAGCATGACGTTATGGGAATTAGCTACAGAATTTCTACAGGTGAATGGTATGTTAGAAGAACCACCTGGTTTAGTCTATCATCTACTCCATTTATTTCATTGCTGCTTAGATCCAGCACTTTACCATGATCCAACACCCAAGTCATGTTTACAGCAAATGGTTTGCTTCATCAACCAATCCTGTAAAATGAGTTGTCACTGGGCAAGAGACACTTTGGCTTGTTCATGGTTGAGAACCGCAGACCAGATTCTTGCTGCCACGGAACTTAAGATAGTTGGTTTAAAGATAACGAGTACGAACATCAAGACTGACATTGGGATGTACGTCATCAGGGTATCTTTCAGAGGTAGGATTGAAGAGATACCTTACATTATGATGGAGTCTAAGGTCAAACTACAAAACCTGATCATCCTTGAACAGACGACACCAGATGTTGGGGACTACTTCAGCAACTATGCTATCTTCATGGATGATGTCATAAAAACGACAGGTGACATTGAGATTCTTCGACGGGATGGTATCATAGGGGGCATGTTGGAAAATGGTAAGGTGGCTCGCATCTTTAAGATTCTTGGTAATATGGTTAAACATTATTGTGACCTTGTTTAGAACATAGGCTTATGTTGTCTATGATGGTATTGTTTCAAGACATGACAGATTATCCAACATATGGCTCTTGACTGGAGACTGAAAGGATTGTGATTTCTATCGTCATTCTTTTAATCTCAAAACTGAAAGGATGAAAAGCATAGCTAGCTAGGCATTAGATAAATGAATAAAACTTGGAAGTGATGTTCAATTAATTTTATAAAATAGTTTTATTATTCATTCAGACGTGGAAGCGCATCGAATGATGGTGATGCATTGTGACTAATCATTTACTCAAACATCTTGGTTGTACCATAATTTTTTAAACTTCAAAGGAGTTCTAAAGAATTCTCAGTTCATCCTTGTCCAAGGAGAGCACTCAAGGCCATAGACATCGCACGATAACCATCTATAACACATAATTCCAGGCAATTGCTGTCGTGAGGGTGAAACTTTGCCTTTCCTACTTTAAATTTAATTTATCTTAATTTAGTGATACTTTGTCTGATTTCAAGTTTCTAAACTCTTCTTCATTAAATTATGATTCTTCTCGCTTTTACATAACTTAATTTGACCTATTAAATTATTTGTAATCGATTATGTAAGAATCCCCGAGTGGAACTCTATTTTCATCCAATTTGTCTTTATCAAGCACTAATGTCATACTGACATCTGCACCCTTATTATTTCCTCTTTTCATGAATTTTAAAATCTATTTTATCTTCATCATTTAGTCTAAAAATTTATATAAAATTTTATTTTATTAGGAAAATTCTGAAATATTACTGAATATAAAATTAAATCTCTACTATCGACTTAAAAAGTTTGAAATATTTTTGGATCTATTTATCGAATTATAATATGTATATTTGTTTTGAAATATTTCTAAAAATTCAAAAATTAGTATTTTCTAGTTTTATAAAGTTTAAATTTTCATGATTTACTACAGAATGACGAAGTTATGTAAATGAAAAAATTTAGTCCCACAAATTACTTTTTTATAAAACTAGAAATATATATATTTTTATTTTTAAAAATATTTCAGAACAAATTTGATAAAAGGTTCCAAAAATAATTGAAAATTTCAGAGTCAAACTAGAGATTTAATATAATATTGGGTAATATTTTAGAATTTTCTTAACATAATATTTTTTTTGAATTTCTAGACTAAGCAATGATGATAAAAGAGATTTAAAGATTTATAGAAAAAGATACCTGATAAGTCTTCATTATCATGAGTTAATAATTATTAAATAATATAGTTTTAGCCTTAACTCATGATAAATAGACTTATATTTGTGTTAAAGTGTGAAAAGTGGTTTTCAGTTGATTAACGTGAATTTTTGGGTAATTATGTGATTTTATACGATTTTTACAGTCTTACTTTTGAGATAAATGAAGAACAAGAAATAAAAATAAAAATATTGCAAAATGGGGGGACCCGCCGGCCAGCCGGGCCCGCAAGCGGGTCGGAAGCGCAGTCGGGAGTAGCCGCGAGCAGGGACTCGAGCGGCTTAGCTTGGACCGATAGGGGCACGTGTGCGCCACTCCCCTTCCACGTCACCGGTGGCCAGCCGGCTGTGGGGCAAGGAGTGGTCGTACACGCGAGAGAAGGGACTTTGCCTAAAAAGCTAACATTACTATATATTTGCCTGAAAAATTGGCGCACAACCGATGTGGGACTAAACCCGCGTCACACCTTCCTCAGAAGGGGCGGACAACCGGCGCGGGTTCGAATCCTCCCAGAGTCAAAATTCATATATTTTTATCTGATTATCGCGACTTTCCTGCAGATCGCCGGTGAAGGATTAAGCAACGAGAATCGCTGGATCATCGGCGAAAATCTCGTCAACGCGATTCGCGGAGCATTGCTACTAAAATTGCTGAACGATTCGCGATAAAAGGATCGCGAATCCATCGAGTAAATCATCTCCGATTGATCGACGAACAAGCCGTCGTCGGGAAGAGGACGATCCGCCGGGAGACCAGTCGCCACCTCCTGAGAGCGTACCAGATGCGATGAAGAGCCTCCTCTTGCTGCGCGGACCTGAGGATGAAGCTCCCTGACACGCGCCCCACCTCCATCCAGCTCCTCTCCGTCGGGTGACAGCCGCCGGAGAGCCGCAAAGTCGCCGTTTTTCTGCTCCGCCGGGTGACAGCCGCCGGAGACGATTCGACGACCCACTTCATTGATCTCTAGACTTCGCGAGAAGATCTAGAGATTGCCCACGTCGTCTTTGTCCAAAGAGAGCCTTCGAGGCCGTGGACACTGCACGACGATCCTCCCGAACGCTCAGGATTCCGGTGCATCGCCGACGCATCGCCGTCGCGACGCCGGAACTCTGTTTTCCTGCTTTCAATTTACTTTACGTTTCATTTAGTGATAATTTGTGTAATTTAAATTTACCAAACTATTCTTCATTCCATTACGATTCTTCCGGATTTTACAGATCTTAATTTGATCAATTAAATCGTCCGTAATCGCTTACGTAAGAATCGCCGGGCGGAACTCTGTTTCCGCCCGATTCGCGCTCGCTGGGCGCTGACGTCATCATCACGTCTGCACCCTTATTTCCCTTTTTCGTGAATTTTAAATATATTTCCTTTTTATTTCCTAGTATAAAATTCATAAAACATTTCCACTGCTGTCTAGGACATTTCCACACGGCAGCAAAGAAGAAGCTTCAGCTTCATAGCCCACGAATGGGCCTCAAACCCATGCGTTATGGGGGGAGAGAGAGAGAGAGAGCGGGAGAGAAACCCGGAGCCTGTCAAGTGCCACGTGGATTCACAAGACTCGCTTCTCCGCCCTTGTCGTGGACGCAGAAGGCTGCTCCTCATCAGGACAGCTGAAACGACCACAATATAGACTTGGCAGGAAATCAACCTAAGAAACTCAGCGGGTTTAAGGAACCATTAAAAAGATGGTTTCTTTGCTAATAATATCGTCTGTTTCAAACTTTCTATTTCAGACAATATTTGAGTAATTTAGAATTTATTTAATTTTTTTTCTAGATCTTCAAAGAATGAGGTGAAGAGACATGGGCTCATCATGGGCCTCTGATAGTCGAACTTTTTGAAATTTTGACTCTCAAAAGAAATTATCTTCATTTTCTTTATTTGTTATTTTTCACATTTGGCTCCCATATTATTCTCAGCCGAAACCACCTTCAAAGGTGATGTAGCTGAGATCAGAAGGGAATACATTTTGTGGAGAATTTTGTCCATCACTTCCACTGGTTTTTATTCAGAGCTGATGCTTATTTGTCTTCTCGTCTTGTAGATATCAAACCAATGAATAACATAGTCAATTACTGTCATACGATCTGTATCAGAAAACTATATTATAAATAAGAAGCCAGGAAGACATAGATGTGCTCCTATTGGCCTTCAAGGTGTGATGATCACCTTTTCAAAGGTTTAGATTCATTTATCATCGAGTGCCACCTTGACCAATAGGCCAAGGGTGATGATTGCTCCAACAAAACACGAGGAAAATTTCAGTACAAACCAATGAGTAGATCAAGTCATTCATCGATTTGACAATTATGTACAATCATCACTGAGAGAAAATCAATAGACTTTGACAAGTAAAATGAATAGAATTGTTCCAATTATCACAATACTAAAAGAATAGTCTCCTTTTTGCAATGATGCCATCATCTCCTTTTTGTATGGTCTATCCTCCATAATGATCGAGAACAGTATAAATTGTCTGCAGTCCAGAAAATACTAGAACCAAGATGGCTGTGAGGACAGAAATACTCGTCCATGGATTGTTGAAGTAGTCCTTCACCAGTGCTGCCCTCCATCTGGGTAAAACAGACTGACAAAACTTATTCACATCTGCAAACAACTCAACATAATGATGTCTGTCATAATTCAATCGTACTCCTTTTAAAATTGTGCTGAAAATGTGAGCGACTTCTTGATCACTTCCCAGCTTGCTCCTTAATATTCCATGCTGTCGAAGTATCGCAACATCTTCCTCAGTGGTCACGATGTTACTTAAGAAGAGCGCATAACTGGTGAAGGGGCTCTCTTTGTCACGACGACACTGTTCGTAGACAACGAGGTTCTTAAAAATAGAATGTGTAGACTCATCCACAGAGAAGGTGGGGATTTCTAGAGTCCCATTCTTGAATGACGCTCTAAGTAAATTTTTTGTATAATGACCAACAAACCCTCTTTTCTTCAGCCTCACACCAGCTTCTTGTAACTCTCTAGCACAAGGGATGTTTTCTGAAAACCCTAAGTGCCTAAAATCAGAGATGTTGTGCACATGTTTGTAAGAGGAGTGTGAGAGATCCAAAAGGTGGAAAATTTCAGTATCTACCTCTAAGCCTGCCATTTTCAGAATGCAACTTCCCAACTGTATTAAAGATGGCAGGGGATCAAATAATCTATCTCTGTGGTGGTTCATAATGGCGAGACGTAAACGATTCAGCACTGAGAATGGAATCTGATTTTCGATCAACACCAAGTCGTTTACTACGAGATAAATGCTGCAATTTACCGAGGACAACTCACATGCCAAATGCTCTATTCTTCCGAGGTGATAGAGCCACATAAACTCTATTAAGAAGAAACTGTCAATTACCATGAGCTCTACGAATTCTTGTCGTTCTTGAGAAATTTTGGCAGCATATTCAGCCCTTACCAAGACTTCGGCACCAAGTACAGTAGTGACACACCGTTCCAATATTCCTGCAACACATCGATCTAGCAGTTGCTTCACGAGCCTTCGTTTTACCGTTTCCATAGGTGCTAGGCTGGGCTTGCCATGATGGTATGGCCCTATGGAGATAACCTTGGGGTCGAAGACTCCTAGGTTCTCTTTCCTGAGATCAGGTCGTACCTTGAAGATGCTAGGCCCTGGTAAACCAGCGACTTGATGTAGCGATACTGGGAGTTGGTTCTTGATCGAGCTTACGATCTCATCAGCTTCCATTCTGCATGAAAAGTAGAGCAAAGCACTCATTTAGCATTTATATCCACCCAAGAACAAGAGAGTTATTGATGTGCGAAAATTACAAACGATACAAGAAAAATATCAAGTCGCTGGTTTATGGATTCACACGTGAGTTTGACTATTTACACATGAAGGAAAACTCAAAGATTACATAAATTCAGAGTTCTGATCTCAAAGCTGCTATCTAGGAAATCCAGTGGACGAATCCGCAAGACTTGGGGAAGGTACCTAGAGAGGAAGGCGTTTCGTGGAAGGTACCCACTCTGCAAGACTCGGGCCCCACCGTCGTCGCACAGACGGAGGTAATATTGTTCCGGTTCCGGCTCTGGAGCTGGGGCCGGGGAGGGAGGAGGGGGCAGACGGAGGTAATACTGTTTGGTTCCAGATGGAGCTGGGGCTGGGGAAGGGGGGGGGGGGGACTAATGCGGAGGGAGAACGTCGGGAAGTTGTCGAGGTTTAGAATTTTCCAAAACCATATTTATTTCTACCCGCCCCCCATCTAGAGGATCAGTGGCATAATTAGAGGGTTACACATAAAGATGCTAGCGGCAACTATTTCTAGAAGCCCGCAGTAGGTCCATTACGGACTCATGTCACCCTCACACCTTGATTATGGAAGTATTCAGAGCCATTGATTGGCAATTTTTGCCTACAAGTCGTATGATTTACAGTATTCAGACTTTAGGGCTTCGGGCCTTGATAAGTCTTCATTATCATGAGTTAATAATTAATAAATAATATAGTTTTAGCCTTAACTCATGATAAATAGACTTATATTTATGTTAAATTGTGAAAAGTGGTCTTCAGTTGGTTGAGGTGATTTTTTGGCTAATTATGTGATTTTATGAGAATTTATATAATTTTTATAATCTTATTTTTGAGATAAATGAAGAAAAATAAAATAAAAAAGATAAAAAAAGAGGGGGAACCCGTCAGCCAGCTGGGCCCGCAAGCAGGTTAGAAGCGCAGTTGAGTGAAGCTGCGAGCATGGACTTGAACAGTGATAAGTTTTCATTATCATGAGTTAATAATTAGTAAATAATATAGTTTTAGCCTTAACTCATGATAAATAGACTTATATTTGTGTTAAAGTGTGAAAAGAGGTTTTCAATTGATTAACGTGAATTTTTGGGTAATTATGTGATTTTATATGATTTTTACAGTCTTACTTTTGAGATAAATGAAGAACAAGAGATAAAATTAAAAATATGGCAAAATGGGGGGACTCGCAAGTGCAGTCAGGGAGTAGCCGCGAGCCCCGGCTTGGCTTGGACCGATAAGGCACGTGTGTGCCACTCCCCTTCCACGTCACCGGTGGCCAGCCAACTGTGAGGCAAGGAGTGGTCGTACACGCGAGAGAAGGGACTTTGCTTACAAAGCTAACATTATTATATATTTGCCCGAAAAATCGGTGCACAACCGATGTGGGACTAAACCCGCGTCACACCTTCCTCATAAGAGGCGAGGCGACCGGCGCAGGTTCGAATCCTCCCAGAGTCAAAATTCATATATTTTTATCTGATTATCGTGACTTTCCTGCAGATCGCCGGCGAAGGATTAAGTAATGAGAATTGTTGGATCAACAGCGAAAATCTCGTCAATGCGCTTCGCAGAGTATTGCTACTAAAATTGCTAAATGATTCGCAATAAAAGGATCACGAATCCATCGAGTAAATCATCTCCGATTGATTGACGAACAAGGCGTTGTCGGGAAGAGGGCGATCCATCGAGAGACGAGTCACCACCTCCTGAGAGTGTACTAGATGCGATGAAGAGCCTCCTCTTGCTGCGTGGGCCTGAGGATGAAGCTCCCTGACATGTGCCCCACCTCCATCCAGCTCCTCTCCGTCGGGTGACAGCCGCCGAAGAGCCACAAAGTCGTCATTTTTCCGCTCCACCGGGTGACAGCCGCCAAAGATGACTCGACGACCCATTTCAGTGATCTCTAGACTTCGCAAGAAGATCTAGAGATTGCCCACGTCGTCTTTGTCCAAGGAGAGCCTTCGAGGCTGTGGATATTGCACAACGATCCTCCCGAATGCTCAGGATTCCGACGCATCGTCATCGCGACGCTGGAACTCTATTTTCCTACTTTCAACTTACTTTACGTTTCATTTAGTGATAGTTTTTGTGATTTTAATTTACCAAAATATACTTTGTTCTATTACAATTCTTCTGACTTTTATAGATATTAATTTGATCAGTTAAATCGTCTGTAATTACTTACGTAAGAATCGCCAGGTGGAACTTTGTTTCTGCTTGATTCGCATTCGCCAGGCGCTGACATCATCATGACGTCCGCACCCTTACTTCCCTTTTTCGTTAATTTTAAATAGATTTCCTTTTCATTTCCTAGTATAAAATTCATAGAAAATTGTATGCATTGAAAAAAAATATGAATAATTACCATATATTATATTACATCCCTGTTATCGACTTGGAAAATTACCGCTATTTTTAGAAGTTTTATTGAATTATAATCAATATATTTATTCATAAATACTTCTAAATATCCAAAAAATCATATTTTCTAGTTTTATAAATTTAATATTTGCGTGATTTAATATACAACGACTGAGTCATGTCAAGCAGCTAAGGGTGACCGATTGAGGGCACATGTGTGTCACTCCTTGTCCACATCACTAGTGGTCTGTCGTGCGTGGGACAAGGAGCGATCGTACACATGTGAGAAATGGACCAATTAATTCTTAAATCTCGTATTACTATATGTTCATCTCAAAATTTGACGTATAACTAATGTGGGACTAAATCAAGGATCATTAAATATTTTTGATGATTTTAATACCCATAATACCCCTTATTTACAACAACGAGATATCACAATGATGTACTATATAAAGATATTTGATAACTTATTTTTCTCTCTCTCATACTGACATACTATTGACGAGGGTTTGAATTCTACTAGAGCTAAAACTCATATTTTTCTCTGATTAAATTGTACTTTTTATGTAAATTTTTGGTGAACAATTAAGCCACCATAATCACTTAATCATTGGCAAAAATCTCATCAATGCGATTCGCAGAATATTGTTACTAAAATTATTGAATGATTCGTGATAAAAGGATCGCAAATCTATCAAGTAAATCATCTCCGATTGATCGGCGAGCAAGCTGTCGTCGGGAAGAAGACGATCCGCCAAGAGACGAGTCGTCACCTCTTGAGAGCATACAAAATATAATGACAAGCCTTCTCTTGCTGCATGGACCTAAGAATAAAGTTGCATGACATATGCTCTACCTCTATCCAGCTCAACTCCGTCAGGTGATAGTTGTCAGAGAGTTACAAAGTCATCATTTTTCTGTTCTACTAAGTGATAGCCATTGAAGACAATTTGGCGACCCATTTCATTGATCTTTAAATTTTATAAGAAGATCTAGAGATTGTCTACATCGCCTTTGTCCAAGATGACCTTCAAGGTTGTGAATAATGTATAATAATATTCTCGAATACTTAAGATTTTAATACATCATTGATGTATGGCTACCGCAATATTGGATCTTTATTTTTTTTATTTTTAACTTAATCTTTACTTCATTTAAAAATAATTTATGTGATAGAAAAATTTTAAACTACTCTTCATTCAATTACGATTCTTTTGGCTTTTACATATCTTAATTTAGTCAATTAAATCGTCTATAATCGCTTACGTAAGAATCATCAGGCGGAACTCTATTATTGCCTGATTCGCATTCATCGGGTGCTGACATCATCTTGACATCCACACCTTTATTTCTCTTTTTTTGTGAATTTTAAATATATTTTACTTTCATTTCTTAGTCTAAAATTCATAAAAAAATATATTCTTTGAGACAAATTCTGAAATATTACCCTATATTATATTACATTCATGTGATCGACTGATAAAATTTTCACTATTTTAGAACTTTTATTGAATTATAATTGATATATTTATTCATAAATACTTTTAAATATCTAAAAATTACTATTTTGTAGTTTTATAAATTTTAAATTTATGTTATTTATTATACAACGACTAAGTCACGTCATCCACCCAATGTCAACAAAAACAAACAGATGCTCCTCAAAAAAAGTAAATAAATTATTCATATTATTTGATAAATGTAGAATGAAAATTTAAAAAATAAATAAATAAATTGAAATTTAAAATTATATAACTATAAAAGAATTCTTGATACATGAAATTTTTAATCAGTAAAATATTAATATATAATGAATAAATCATCAACTGATGAAAATTTAATAATAGGAATAAGGTTGAAATAAAAAGGAAATAGTTTCAATATAAGAGAAATCAGTTTCACTATTAAAGTGCCTCCTTTTCACAACACATTTACATTCCAGAATTCATGTCATGTTTTGAACGAAAATCAATGATTGCTATCACTACATAAGTTGACATAATTTTCTGTCCTAAAACTTGAACAAGCTGAAAAATATATAAAATCCACATTGATTTTTATACTAATTAATTACTAATAGCTGCGTAGCCCAAGTTCCCTTTGACAACTTGTTATCCAAGGATCGTAGTGAATTCAAGGCACCTTTTCTTTCATGTGAAAATATATAATAAAAATTATATTTTTGAAGGATTATAACTCTATTAGTATGACATGATATGATCTATTTTGAATAATTGATCTCAAACAAAGTTCAGTTTCATGCTGGTTCAAAAATTGGCCCACTAATATAATATTTGGCTTATGGGTAAACATGGTTGGAAGAAGTTGTTTGAATGAATACTAATTGGAGTTTCAACGCTCATGTGCAGGCAACACGAGTTGACTTGATATTCAATTGAGCTTTTCTCCTGCGTGTACAACCACTCTTTGCCCCACAGCTAGTTGGCCACTGGTGACATGGAAGGAGAGTGGCAGGCACGTGTCCCTATCGGTTCATAGCCGCTCAAGCCTCTGCTTGCAGCTCTTCCCCAACTACACTACTGACCTACTTGGGGGCCCAGCTTGTCGGCGAGTTTCCCCCTTTTTCTATTTATTTTATTTTATTTTCTTCATCTTCATTTATCTCAAAAATAAGATTATAAAAATCATATAAAATTGTATAAATCCACATAATTAGCCAAAAAAACACATTAATCAAATGAAAACAACTTTTCATAATTTCACATAAATATAAGTCTATTTATCATGAGTTAAGGCTAAAACTATATTATTTATCAATTATTAACTCATGATAATGTAGACTTATTAGGTATCAATCAATTTAATTGATTTAATTTTTCTTGTATGCAATATGATGTAAGAAATTTATAAATTAGATAGTTCTGATAGTTCTACTTTCTATTTTTAGTTTTATTTTATGCAACTATGATTTGTGAAGAAATCCAAGGTGACCGATCTCATTTCCTCTCCTCTCCCCCCTTCCACGCGTCTCTACTTCCCCTTCCTCGAGGAGAAAATGGACGAATACGTCTGATCAGAGAAGAAAGGCGGTGAAGTTACCGAGTGGGAGAGATTGCTTACAGAAGGATAGAGACTCTAAGAGGTTTTTGAAGAGAAACCATTTCGCTATCAGCATTTAATAGATTTTACACTACATGAGAGAAACCGCTGAAAGAATGATTGAGAGAGAGTGAGAGTGAGCAAGAGGCGAAGAATCTCCCGTATAAGCATCATAAGTAAAAGTAGCTTCCATAATTAACACGGTGGAGTTTGCAGTGCCAAACCAAGCAATCTGCAAAAGCTCAATTGAATATCAAGTCAACTCATATTGCTTGCACGTGAGCATTGAAACTTCAATTAGTATTCATTTAAACAACTTCTTCCAACCATGTTTACCCATAAGCCAAACATTATATTAGTGGGCCAATTTTTGAACCAGTGTGAAACTGAACTTTGTTTGAGATCAATTATTCAAAATAGATCATATCATGTCATACTAATAGAGTTATAATCCTTCACAAATATAATTTTTATTATATATTTTCACATGAAAGAAAAGGTGCCTTGAATTCACTACGATCCTTGGATAACATGTTGTCAAAGGGAACTTGGGCTAAGCGGCAATTAGTATTTAATTAATATAAAAATCAACGTGGATTTTATATATTTTTCAGCTTGTTCAGGTTTTAGGACAGAAAATTGTATCAACTTATATAGTGATAGCACTCATTAATTTTCGTTCAAAACATGACATGAATTCTGGAATGTAAATGTGTTGTGAAAAGGAGGCACTTTAATAGTGAAACTGATTTCTCTTATATTGAAACTATTTCCTTTTTATTTTAACCTTATTCCTATTATTAAATTTTCATCAGTTGATGATTTATTCATTATATATTAATATTTTACTGATTAAAAATTTCATGTATCAAGAATTCTTTTATAGTTATATAATTTTAAATTTCAATTTATTTTTAAAATTTTTAATTCTACATTTATCAAATAATATGAATAATTTATTTACTTTTTTTGAGGAGCATCTGTTTGTTTTTTTTGACATTAGGTGGGTGACGTGATTTAGTCATTGTATAATAAATAACATAAATTTAAAATTTATAAAACTACAAAATAGTAATTTTTAAATATTTAAAAGTATTTCTGAATAAATATATCAATTATAATTCAATAAAAGTTCTAAAATAGTGAAAATTTTATCAGTCGATCAAATGGATGTAATATAATATAGGGTAATATTTCAGAATTTGTCTCAAAGAATATATTTTTTTATGAATTTTAGACTAAGAAATGAAAGTAAAATATATTTAAAATTCACAAAAAGAGAAATAAAGGCGTGGATGTCAAGATGACGTCAGCAACTAATGAATGCAAATCAGGCAATAATAGAGTTCCACCTGATGATTCTTAAGTAAGTGATTATATACGATTTAATTGACTAAATTAATATATGTAAAAACCAAAAGAATCGTAATTGAATGAAGAGTAGTTTAAAAATTTTATATCACATAAATTATTTTTAAATAAAGTAAAAATTAAGTTAAAAATAAAGAAAATAAAGATCTAGTATTGCGGCAGCCATACGTCAATGATGTATTAAAATCTTAAGTATTCAAGAATATTATTATATATTATTCACAACTTAGAAGTCTCATATTAGACAAAGTCGATGTGAGCAATCTCTAGATCTTCCTATAAAAATTTAAAGATCAATGAAATGAGTCGTCAAATTGTCTTCAATGGCTATCACCTGGTAGAACAAAAAAACGACGACTTTGTGACTCTCCGACAACTATCACTTGACAGAGTTGAGCTAGATGGAGGTGGAGCGTATGTCACGCAATTTCATTCTTAGGTCCGTGCAAGCAAGAGAAGGCTTTTCATTATATTTTGTATGCTCTCAAGAGGTGACAACTCGTCTCTTGGCGGACCGTCTTCTTCTTGACGACAGCTTGCTCGTCGATCAATCGGAGCTGATTTACTTGATAGATTTGCGATCCTTTTATCACAAATCATTCAATAATTTTAGTAACACTACTCTGCGAATCGCATTGATGAAATTTTTGCCAATGATTAAGTGATTATGGTGGCTTAATTGTTCACCAAAAATTTACATAGAAAGTACAATTTAATCAAAGAAAAATATGAGTTTTAGCTGTAGTAGAATTCAAACCCTCGTCAATAGTATGTCAGTATGAGAGAGAGAAAAATAAGTTATCAAATATCTTTATATAGTACGTCATTGTGATATCTTGTTGCTATAAATAAGGGGTATTATGGGTATTAAAATCATCAAAAATATTCAATGATCCTTGATTTAGTCCCACATTTGTTATACGTCAAATTTTGAGATGAACATATAGTAATACGAGATTTAAGAGTTAATTGGTCCATTTCTCACATGTGTACGATTGCTCCTTGCCCCACGCACGACAGACCACTAGTGACATGGACAAGGTGTGACACACATGTGCCCCCAATCGGTCACCCTTAGCTGCTTGACATGACTCAGTCATTGTATATTAAATCACGCAAATATAAAAATTATAAAATTAGAAAATATATATTTTTTGGATATTTAGAAGTATTTCTAAATAAATATATCGATTATAATTCAATAAAAGTTCTAAAAATAGTATTAATTTTCCAAGTCGATCACTAGGATGTAATATAATATATGGTTAATTATTCAGAATTTTTCTCAATAAATATGATTATCTATGAATTTTATACTAGGAAATAAAAAGGAAATCTATTTAAAATTCACAAAAAAGGGAAATAAGGATGTGGACATCATGATGATGTCAGCACCCGACGAATGCGAATCGGGTGGAAACAAAGTTCTGCCTGGCGATTCTTACGTAAGCGATTATAGACAATTTAATTGATCAAATTAATATCTATAAAAGTCAGAAGAATTGTAATAGAACAAAGTATATTTTGGTAAATTAAAATCACAAAAACTATCACTAAATGAAATGTAAAGTAAATTGAAATCAGGAAAACAGAGTTCCGGTATCGGGACGGTAATGCGTCGGCGATGCACCGGAATCTTGAGCGTTCGGGAGGATCATTGTGTAGTGTTCACGGCCTTGAAGGCTCTCTTTGGACAAAGACGACGTGGGCAATCTCTAGATCTTCTTGCGAAGTCTAGGGATCACTGAAATGGGTCGTCGAGTTTTCTCTGGTGGCTGTCACCCAGTGGAGCGGAAAAACAGTGACTTTGCGGCTCTCCGGCGGCTGTCACTCGACGAAGAGGAGCTGGATAGAGGTGGGGTGCATGTCAGGGAGCTTCATCCTTAGGTCCACGCAGCAAGAGAAGGCTCTTCATTGCATCTGTTACGCTCTCAAGAGGTGGCAACTCATCTCTTGACGGATTGTCCTCTTCCCGACAACGGCTTGTTCGTCGATCAATCGGAGATGATTTACTCGATGGATTCGCGATCCTTTTATCGTGAATCGTTTAGCAATTTTAGTAGCAATGCTTTGCGAAGCACGTTGACGAGATTTTCATTGTTGATCTAGCGATTCTCATTGCTTAATCCTTCATCGGCGATCTGTAGGAAAGTCGCGATAATCAGATAAAAATATATGAATTTTGACTCTGGGAGGATTTGAACCAGTGCCGGTCGCCCGCCTCTTCTGAGGAAGGTGTGACGTGGGTTTAGTCCCACATCAGTTGTGCGCTGATTTTTCGGGCGAATATATAGTAATGTTAGCTTTGTATGCAAAGTCCCTTCTCTCGCATGTACGACCACTCCTTGCCCCATAGCCGGCTGGCCACCGGTGACGTGGAAGGGGAGTGGCGCACATGTGCCCTATCGGTCCAAGCTAAGCTGCTTGAGCCCCTACTCGCGGCTACTCCCCGACTGCACTTTCGACCTGCTTGCGGGTCCCCCCATTTTGCCATATTTTTAATTTTATTTCTTGTTCTTCATTTATCTCAAAAGTAAAACTATAAAAATCATATAAAATCACATAATTACCCAAAAATTCACCTTAATCAATTGAAAACCACTTTTCACACTTTAACACAAATATAAGTCTATTTATCATGAGTTAAGGCTAAAACTATATTATTTAATAATTATTAACTCATGATAATGAAGACTTATCACTGTTCAAGTCCATGCTCGTAGCTTCAGTCAACTGCGCTTCTAACCTACTTGCGGGCCCGGCTGGCTGGTGGGTTCCCCCTCTTTTTTTATCTTTTTTATTTTATTTTTCTTCATTTATCTCAAAAATAAGATTATAAAAATTATATAAATTCTCATAAAATTACATAATTAGCCAAAAAATCACCTCAACCAATTGAAGACCACTTTTCACAATTTAACATAAATATAAGTCTATTTATCATGAGTTAAGGCTAAAACTATATTATTTATTAATTATTAACTCATGATAATGAAGACTTATCAAGGCCCGAAGCCCTAAAGTCTGAATATTGCAAATCATATGACCACTCGTTGCCCAATGTCTGGTTGGCCACTAGTGACATGGAAGGGGAGGACACACATGTGTCCCTTATCTCTCCATCTTTAGCCACATTGGCCTTTTGCTCGTGGCTCCACCTTGACTGTGCTTCTGACCCACTTACAAGTTTGACTGGTTGGCTGGTGCCCCCCTTTTTTTTCTATCTTTTTATTTTATTTTATTTTATTTATCTCAAAAAAATATTATAAAAATTATATATAAATTTAAATAAAATCACATAATTAGCTAAAATTTCATATTAACCAATTAAAAACTATTTTTCATAATTTAACATAAATATAAGTCTATTTATTATGAGTTAAGGCTAAAATTATATTATTAATTAATTATTAACTCATGATAATGAAGACTTATCAGCAAGAATTGCATACTTTCGTACCCTTCTTGTTTCTAAATTGATTGAGATCTCGAAAGATGTATTCTCATCGATTTCATCCCTAGTACTCATTCACAAGAAAAGTGCTTTATAACAAAATGTCTGGTTGATACCATCAAGGATAGACAAAGACACCACACTTGGAATGAGCAAAGTAAGTTGAGATTGACCGACCCTAGGCTAGTTAACCATTGTGGTCATCTTCTCAACTAAACAAGTGGAAAATGATTAACAATCAGTCACATTTAGCGATCCTACATAGACTCTTGAACATGTGAGCTGCCTCGTCATTTTGCATCTTGCCATAAAGGATACCGCATCTTCGAAGGATTTCAACGTCCGCTGCTGTTTTGATGATGGAGCCCATCAAGGTAGCGTAGCAGGTAAAGTAGTCTCCAACCTGGGGGTGTACCAGTTCAAGGATGATGAGATTTTGCAGTCTGGTTTTGGTGGACTCCTCCAAAGTGAGGCTGGGGATCTCAAGACTCTCCCCCTTGAATGAGACCATGATAACGTACCTCCCAATCCTTGACTTGATACTCGTCCTCGTGAGCTTCACACCAACTCTCACGAGCTCCGTCACCTGGGAGATCTGGTCCGAGTCTCCCCTCCATGCATAGCCCAAGGAAGTGTATCCAGGGTTGAGAGACCCGGCGAGGTTTCTGAGCCAGCAGAACGTCCTGTGGAAATATGACTTTGGGGCCGGATTATCGTAGAGACGTGGGTCCAAGGATGAATGAAGCAAATGGAGCAGATGATATACTAGCTCAGGACGTTCCGGCAACATGTTCCTCACCTCGAGGAACTCTGTGGCTAATTCCCACAAATGGGGGGTACGGATGCGAGAGAAGAAGAATAGCTCTTCTAATAGGAAGAAGGGAATCTGGTTCTCTATCATCAGGCAATCGTCGCGCACGACATCAAGGGTTGTGTCACACAGACGAAACAGTTCCCTCCACAAGAAGACCCAACCTTCTCGGAAGTACGTCAGAAATAGCTCTATGAGGAAGCAGCCATCGAAAATCATCATCTCAACGAACTCATTGCTATCCAGCTCAAGTTCCTCAGAGTACCAGGCCCTCGCTTCCTCTTCGTGCCTCCTTATCGAGTCGATCATTCCATCGATACAGTTGCAACGACTCCTCATGAACAGGTTGTACGTGAATTTGCGTTTAAGTGTCTCCATCTTACGGAGGGAGGCGTCTCCATGGTGAAACGGCCCGATGGATACGACCTTCGGCCGACATGCACCAGGGTCCTCGTCCCTAACGTGGGTCCGCATCCTGTGGATGATGGGCTTTTTAAATCGCGAATTGGCGTCCAGATCATCTGCCTCTGAAATCTGTGCCTTGATAGAGTGCACCAGTGGGTCTTCAGTCACGTCCACTGAGCCTTCCATATTCTGGCTGTGGCCTTCCCCCTGAGCGTTTTCCTCTAAGCCAGGCTTCAGTGCTCCTAGAGTTCAGGGCTTCGTGTTGTTTCGAGGATGCAGCGGGAGACGTGCTTCCGCCCTTCTGATCAGACAGTGCGGGTGTTGGATCCGCTAAAAATAGGGGAATGAAATCTGAGTGGACGCGAATCGTGCAATGAGATATCTGGTTGGCTTCTCCTCACCGAAACGGCAGGAATAAACGCGACAGCCCACAGCAAATCTGCAGGGTAGAGTTTATTTATTCCACGGTGGTGTGCCGTAAATGTGATGATCGACGAATCGGAGGGAGAGGAAAAGATGAAAGGAAACGAGCGGACGAAGACCAGGATCGAAAACTTTCGGTTAACATCTCTTCAAACATTCGGGGAAATCGTCAAAGAAACAGTATAAAGAGCCTGTAATCTTCGGGAAAAATGGCAGATTAAGATGAAGAGCTCAATCATCGGTGGAGGAAAAGAGCAGATGTACCAGGCAATGGTTCCGGCCGCTTGGAAGTCCGAGAGCTCGGTCGATGGGGCGGGCGTCGAGCAGGATGTGGTAGGGGGGGATATTAATTGTTTTGTGCTGTTGGAGGCCTACGAGCAGAGTCACACGCGTCCACGAGAATCGGTTGCCCGCCCTTCATGCGGAATAATGCGGCAATGTGGCGCTCTCACCGCCTCCCTTTCCCTCTCTCTCTCTCCTCTCTCTCTCTCTCTCTCTCTCTCTCTCTCCCTCCCTCTCTCTCTCCCTCTGACTGAAACATACAAACAGGAGAAAGTTTCTCCCGTCCATTCATTTAATGGGCCAATGCACTAATATAAGAAGAAACGCATATGGGGGATGACTTTACACTGGAGATCTATGGAAGAATCGACCCTACAAAGAAGATAGTCATCGAATATTATAAATACGTGAATACATAAGATTAACCCTTAAAAACTGCAAGGATTCTGCATTGCAGTTACTCGACCAGCTCATGAAACTCGACGACTTCTACTGTCTCATTTTTCTCCAGCCGTACAGTAGTAAGTACAAGTCCAGGTTTTCTGGTCTGCAAACGTGAGAACAACTTTTGAGAGCACCCGAAATTCCCTAAAAATGGGCACTCCATTAGATTGGAACTTAGCATTGATTCTTCAATGTTCTTCACCATTTCCATCATAAGACTAAGAACACACGATGGGCAGCACAGGTTACTCATGGCCAGTGCTTCAGAAAATAGAGAATGCGGGTGCAGACCTTCGAGCCCTGCACAGGGGGCAAAGTCTAGGACGTCCTCTCCTGGCTTGTAGTTCACAGACTCGGGGAAAACTTTTTGTACATGTCTTGTTGACTGATAAGTCTTCATTATCATGAGTTAATAATTAGTAAATAATATAGTTTTTGGAAAATAGAACTAAAAAAAGAAAACAGAACAGCCAAAACTATCTACTTCACAAATTTCTTACATCATATTTCATGCATGAAAAATTAAATCAATAAAATTGATCCATACCTGACAAGAATTCATTATCATGAGATAGATGAAGAAAAATAAAATAAAAAGATACAATACGGGGGGTTAATAAGTCTTCATTATCATGAGTTAATAATAAGTAAATAATATAGTTTTCACCTTAACTCATGATAAATAGACTTATATTTGTGTTAAAGTGTGAAAAGTAGTTTGCAGTTGATTAATGTGATATTTTGGCTAATTATGTGATTTTATGCGAATTTACATGATTTTTATAATCCTATTTTTGAGATAAATGAAGAAGTAGAAATTAAAATAAAAATATAACAAAATGGGGGGGACCCACCGGGCCCTCAAGCGGGTCGGAAGCGTAGTCAAGCGGGAGCTGCGAGTAGATGCTCGAGTGGCTTAAATCGCCAATGGGGGCAAGTGTGGGCCACTCCCCCCGTCCACGTCACCGGTGGCCAACCGGCTGTGGGGCAAGGAATGATCGTACACGTAGGAAAAAGTTGATAAAAAATGTAGTATTACTTTATATTCACCAAAAACTTCGGCGCACAACCGATGTGGGACTAAACCCACGCCACCTTCCCTAGAGAGTGCGGGGGGGGGAGGCAACTGGCGCAGGTTCGAATCCTCTCAGAGCCAACACTCTTATTTTTATCTCATTAAATCGCAACTTTCCTGCATATCGCCGGCGAATGATTAAGCCGCCATAATCGCTGGATCAGCGGCAAAAATCTCATCAACACGGTTTGCAGAGCATTGTTACTAAGATTGCTGAATGGTTTGCAGTAAAAGGATCGCGAATCTATCGAGTAAAGCATCTCTGATTGATCGACGAACAAGCTGTCATTGGGAAGAGGACGATCCGCTGGGAGACGAGTCGCCACCTCCTAAGAGCATACCGGATGCGGTGAAGAGCCTCCTCTTGCTGTGTGGACCTGAGGATGAAGCTCCTTGACATGCGCCCTACCTCTGTTCAAATCCTCTCTGTCGGGTGACAGCCGCTAGAGAGCCGCAAAGTCGCCGTTTTTCCGCTCTGCCGGGTGACAGCTGCTGGAGATGATTCGACGACCCATTTCATTGATCTCTTGACTTTGCAAGATGATCTAGAGATTATTGATGTCGTCCCTATCCAAGGAGAGCCTTCGAGGCCGCAGATAACTTCACGACAATCCTCTCGAATGCTCAGAATTCTGGTGCATTGCCGACGCATCATCGCCGCATCGCCGCATCGCCGCCGCGACGTCGGAACTTTATTTTCCTGTTATCAACTTAATTTTTACTTTATTTAGTGATAATTTGTGTAATTTAAATTTACCAAACTATTATTCATTCCATTACGATTCTTCCAGATTTTACAGATCTTAATTTGATCAATTAAATCATCCATAATCGCTTATGTAAGAATCGCCGGGTGGAACTCTATTTCTGCCCGATTTGGGTTCGTCGGGTGCTGACATCATCATCATGTCTGTACCCTTATTTTCCTTTTTCGTGAATTTTAAATATATTTTATTTCCATTTATTAGTGTAAAATTCATAAAACATTTCCACTATTGTTTGGGACATTTCCACACGACAGCAAAGAAGAAGCTTCAGCTTCATAGCCCACAAATGGGCCTCAAACCCATGCGTTATGGGGAGGGGGGAGGGGAGAGAGAGAGAGAGAGAGAGAGAGAGAGAGAGAGAGAGAGAGAGAGAGAGAGAGAGAGAGAGAGAGAGAGAGAGAGAGAGAGAGAGAGAGAGAGAGAGCGGGAGAGAAACATGGAGCCTGTCAAGTGCCATGTGGATTCACAAGACTCGCTTCTCCGCCCTTGTCGTGGACGCAGGAGGCTGCTCCTCATCAAGACAGCTGAAACGACCACAATATAGACTTGGTGGGAAATCAACCTAAGAAACTCAGCGGGTTTAATGAACCATTTAAATGATGGTTTCTTTGCTAATAATATCGTCTGTTTCAAACTTTCTATTTCAGACAATATTTGAGTAATTTAGAATTTTTTTAATTTTTTTTCTAGATCTTCAAAGAATGAGGTGAAGAGACATGGGCTCATCATGGGCCTCTGATAGTCGAACTTTTTGAAATTTTGACTCTCAAAAGAAATTATCTTCATTTTCTTTATTTGTTATTTTTCACATTTGGCTCCCATATTATTCTCAGCCGAAACCACCTTCAAAGGTGATGTAGCTGAGATCAGAAGGGAATACATTTTGTGGAGAATTTTGTCCATCACTTCCACTGGTTTTTATTTAGAGCTGATGCTTATTTGTCTTCTCGTCTTGTAGATATCAAACCAATGAATAACATAGTCAATTACTGTCATGCGATCTGTATCAGAAACTATATTATAAATAAGAAGCCAGGAAGACATAGATGTGCTCCTATTGGCCTTCAAGGTGTGATGATCACCTTTTCAAAGGTTTAGATTCATTTATCATTGAGTGCCACCTTGACCAATAGGCCAAGGGTGATGATTGCTCCAACAAAACAGGAGGAAAATTTCAGTACAAACCAATGAGTAGATCAAGTCATTCATCGATTTGACAATTATGTACAATCATCACCGAGAGAAAATCAATAGACTTTGACAAGTAAAATGAATAGAATTGTTCCAATTATCACAATACTAAAAGAATAGTCTCCTTTTTGCAATGATGCCATCATCTCCTTTTTGTATGGTCTATCCTCCATAATGATCGAGAACAGTATAAATTGTCTGCAGTCCAGAAAATACTAGAACCAAGATGGCTGTGAGGACAGAAATACTCGTCCATGGATTGTTGAAGTAGTCCTTCACCAGTGCTGCCCTCCATCTGGGTAAAACAGACTGACAAAACTTATTCACATCTGCAAACAACTCAACATAATGATGTCTGTCATAATTCAATCGTACTCCTTTTAAAATTGTGCTGAAAATGTGAGCGACTTCTTGATCACTTCCCAGCTTGCTCCTTAATATTCCATGCTGTCGAAGTATCGCAACATCTTCCTCAGTGGTCACGATGTTACTTAAGAAGAGCGCATAACTGGTGAAGGGGCTCTCTTTGTCACGACGACACTGTTCGTAGACAACGAGGTTCTTAAAAATAGAATGTGTAGACTCATCCACAGAGAAGGTGGGGATTTCTAGAGTCCCATTCTTGAATGACGCTCTAAGTAAATTTTTTGTATAATGACCAACAAACCCTCTTTTCTTCAGCCTCACACCAGCTTCTTGTAACTCTCTAGCACAAGGGATGTTTTCTGAAAACCCTAAGTGCCTAAAATCAGAGATGTTGTGCACATGTTTGTAAGAGGAGTGTGAGAGATCCAAAAGGTGGAAAATTTCAGTATCTACCTCTAAGCCTGCCATTTTCAGAATGCAACTTCCCAACTGTATTAAAGATGGCAGGGGATCAAATAATCTATCTCTGTGGTGGTTCATAATGGCGAGACGTAAACGATTCAGCACTGAGAATGGAATCTGATTTTCGATCAACACCAAGTCGTTTACTACGAGATAAATGCTGCAATTTACCGAGGACAACTCACATGCCAAATGCTCTATTCTTCCGAGGTGATAGAGCCACATAAACTCTATTAAGAAGAAACTGTCAATTACCATGAGCTCTACGAATTCTTGTCGTTCTTGAGAAATTTTGGCAGCATATTCAGCCCTTACCAAGACTTCGGCACCAAGTACAGTAGTGACACACCGTTCCAATATTCCTGCAACACATCGATCTAGCAGTTGCTTCACGAGCCTTCGTTTTACCGTTTCCATAGGTGCTAGGCTGGGCTTGCCATGATGGTATGGCCCTATGGAGATAACCTTGGGGTCGAAGACTCCTAGGTTCTCTTTCTTGAGATCAGATCGTACCTTGAAGATGCTAGGCCCTGGTAAACCAGCGACTTGATGTAGCGATACTGGGAGTTGGTTCTTGATCGAGCTTACGATCTCATCAGCTTCCATTCTGCATGAAAAGTAGAGCAAAGCACTCATTTAGCATTTATATCCACCCAAGAACAAGAGAGTTATTGATGTGCGAAAATTACAAACGATACAAGAAAAATATCAAGTCGCTGGTTTATGGATTCACACGTGAGTTTGACTATTTACACATGAAGGAAAACTCAAAGATTACATAAATTCAGAGTTCTGATCTCAAAGCTGCTATCTAGGAAATCCAGTGGACGAATCCGCAAGACTTGGGGAAGGTACCTAGAGAGGAAGGCGTTTCGTGGAAGGTACCCACTCTGCAAGACTCGGGCCCCACCGTCGTCGCACAGACGGAGGTAATATTGTTCCGGTTCCGGCTCTGGAGCTGGGGCCGGGGAGGGAGGAGGGGGCAGACGGAGGTAATACTGTTTGGTTCCAGATGGAGCTGGGGCTGGGGAAGGGGGGGGGGGGGACTAATGCGGAGGGAGAACGTCGGGAAGTTGTCGAGGTTTAGAATTTTCCAAAACCATATTTATTTCTACCCGCCCCCCATCTAGAGGATCAGTGGCATAATTAGAGGGTTACACATAAAGATGCTAGCGGCAACTATTTCTAGAAGCCCGCAGTAGGTCCATTACGGACTCATGTCACCCTCACACCTTGATTATGGAAGTATTCAGAGCCATTGATTGGCAATTTTTGCCTACAAGTCGTATGATTTACAGTATTCAGACTTTAGGGCTTCGGGCCTTGATAAGTCTTCATTATCATGAGTTAATAATTAATAAATAATATAGTTTTAGCCTTAACTCATGATAAATAGACTTATATTTATGTTAAATTGTGAAAAGTGGTCTTCAGTTGGTTGAGGTGATTTTTTGGCTAATTATGTGATTTTATGAGAATTTATATAATTTTTATAATCTTATTTTTGAGATAAATGAAGAAAAATAAAATAAAAAAGATAAAAAAAGAGGGGGAACCTGTCAGCCAGCCGGGCCCGCAAGCAAGTTAGAAGCGCAGTCGAGTGAAGCTGCGAGCATAGACTTGAGCAGTGATAAGTCTTCATTATCATGAGTTAATAATTAGTAAATAATATAGTTTTAGCCTTAACTCATGATAAATAGACTTATATTTGTGTTAAAATGTGAAAAGAGGTTTTCAATTGATTAACGTGAATTTTTGGGTAATTATGTGATTTTATATGATTTTTATAATCTTACTTTTGAGATAAATGAAGAATAAGAAATAAAATTAAAAATATTGCAAAATGGGGGGACCTGCAAGCAGGTTGGAAGTGCAGTCGGGGAGTAGCTGCGAGCAGGGGCTCGAGTGATTTGGCTTGGACCGATAGGGCACGTGTGCGCCACTCCCCTTCTATGTCACCAGTGGCCAGCCGGCTGTGGGGCAAGGAGTGGTCGTACACGCGAGAGAAAGGACTTTGCTTAGAAAGCTAATATTATTATATATTCGTCTGAAAAATCGGCGCACAACCGATGTGGGACTAAACCTACGTCACACCTTCCTCAGAAGAGGCGGGTGACTGTCACTAGTTCAAATCCTCCCAGAGTCAAAATTCATATATTTTTATCTGATTATCGCGACTTTCCTACAGATCGCCGGTGAAGGATTAAGCAATGAGAATCGCTAGATCAACAATGAAAATCTCGTCAACGTGCTTCGCAGAGCATTGCTACTAAAATTGCGAAAATGATTCGTGATAAAAGGATCGCGAATCTATCGAGTAAATCATCTCCGATTGATCGACGAACAAGCTGTCGTCGGGAAGAGGACGATCCATCAAGAGACGAGTCGCCACCTCTTGAGAGCATACTAGATGCAATGAAGAGCCTCCTCTTGCTGCGGGGACCTGAGGATGAAGCTCCCTGACACGCGCCCCACCTCCATCTAGCTCCTCTCCGTCGGGTGACAGCCGCCGGAGAGCTGCAAAGTCGTTGTTTTTCCGCTCCGCCGGGTGACAATCACCGGAGATGACTCGACGACCCATTTCAGTGATCTCTAGACTTTGCAAGAAGATCTAGAGATTGCCCACGTCACCTTTGTCCAAGGAGAGCCTTTGAGGCCATGGACACTGCACAACAATCCCCCCGAACGCCAGGATTCTGGTGCATCACTGACACATCGTCGTCGCGACGCCGAAACTCTATTTTCCTACTTTCAACTTACTTTACGTTTCATTTAGTGATAGTTTTTGTGATTTTAATTTACCAAAATATACTTTTTTCTATTACAATTCTTCTGACTTTTACAAATATTAATTTGATCAATTAAATCGTCTATAATCGCTTACGTAAGAATCGTTGGGCGGAACTCTATTTTTGCTCGATTTGCATTCGCCAGGTGCTGACATCATCATGACGTTCGCACCCTTATTTCCCTTTTTCATGAATTTTAAATAGATTTCTTTTTCATTTCCTAATATAAAATTTATAGAAAATTGTATTCATTGAGAAAAATTCTGAGTAATTACCATATATTATATTACATCCCTATGATCGACTTGGAAAATTACTGCTATTTCTAGAAGTTTTATTGAATTATAATTGATATATTTATTCATAAATACTTCTAAATATCCAAAAAATCATATTTTCTAGTTTTATAAATTTTATATTTGGCTGATTTAATATACAACGATTAAGTCATGTCAAGCAGCTAAGGGTGACTGATTGGGAGCACATGTGTGTCACTCCTTGTCCACGTCACTAGTGGTCTGTCGTGCGTGGGGCAAGGAGCGATTGTACACATGTGAGAAATGGACCAGTTAATTTTTAAATCTCGTATTACTATATGTTCATCTCAAAATTTGACGTATAACTAATGTGAGACTAAATCAAGGATCATTGAATATTTTTGATGATTTTAATACCCATAATACCCCTTATTTACAACAACGAGATATCACAATGACGTACTATATAAAGATATTTGATAACTTAATTTTCTCTCTCTCATACTGACATACTACTGATGAGGGTTTAAATTCTACTAGAGCTAAAACTCATATTTTTCTCTAGTTAAATTGTACTTTTTATGTAAATTTTTGGTGAACAATTAAGCCACCATAATCACTTAATCATTGGCAAAAATCTCATCAATGTGATTCGTAGAGTATTGTTACTAAAATTATTGAATGATTTGTGATAAAAGGATCGCAAATTTATCAAGTAAATCATCTCTGATTGATCGACGAGCAAACTGTCGTCGAGAAGAAGACGATCCGCTGAGAGACGAGTCATCACCTCTTGAGAGCATACAAAATATAATGACAAGCCTTCTCTTGCTGCATGGACCTAAGAATGAAATTGCATGACATACGCTCCACCTCTATCCAGCTCAACTCCGTCAGGTGATAGTTGTCGGAGAGTCACAAAGTCATCATTTTTATGTTGAAGACAATTTGGCGACCCATTTCATTGATCTTTTCACATTGCCTTTGTCCAAGATGAGCCTTCGAGGTTGTGAATAATGTATAATAATATTCTCGAATACTTAAGATTTTAATACATCATTGATGTATGGCTACCGCAATATTGGATCTTTATTTTTTTTATTTTTAACTTAATCTTTACTTCATTTAAAAATAATTTATGTGATAGAAAAATTTTAAACTACTCTTCATTCAATTATGATTCTTTTGGCTTTTACATATCTTAATTTAATCAATTAAATCATCTATAATCGCTTACGTAAGAATCATCAGGCGGAACTCTATTATTGCCTTATTTGCATTCATCAGGTGCTGACATCATCTTGACATCCACACCTTTATTTCTCTTTTTTTGTGAATTTTAAATATATTTTACTTTCATTTCTTAGTCTAAAATTTATAAAAAAATATATTGTTTAAGACAAATTCTGAAATATTACCCTATATTATATTACGTTCATATGATTGGCTGATAAAATTTTCACTATTTTAGAACTTTTATTGAATTATAATTGATATATTTATTCATAAATACTTTTAAATATCTAAAAATTACTATTTTGTAGTTGTATAAATTTTAAATTTATGTTATTTATTATACAATGACTAAGTCACGTCACCTACCCAATGTCAACAAAAACAAACAGATGCTCCTCAAAAAAAGTAAATAAATTATTCATATTATTTGATAAATATAGAATTAAAATTTTTAAAAAATAAATAAATAAATTGAAATATAAAATTATATAACTATAAAAGAATTCTTGATATATGAAATTTTTAATCAGTAAAATATTAATATATAATGAATAAATCATCAACTGATGGTACTTCACATGCCCAAGCACTTTGGTGCCTCTCAAGCACATTCTTTAGAGATAGATGCCACTTGTGCCTCTCGACATCCTGGTAGGGGTGCCTCTCAGCACGTTCTTCGCAGCTAGGGGCGTCTTGGCATAGTGAGATGGATGCCACATATGCCTCTTGGCATGGTGGCAGGGTGGCCTCTTGGCAAGGGTGCCTCTTGGCACGTTCTTCGATGCTCAAGGTATCTTGGCATGGTGACGGAGGGGTTCGTAACACATGCTAGGCAGCATGATCATGTAGCGGTGTCTTTCAGCACATGCACAGCAAGCGTCTCGCAATGCATGCACACGTACTTGGGGACTTCCCAGGGAGGTCACCCATCCGGAGACTGCTCTCACCTGAGCACTGGTAACTCCGAAGTTCTTATGGGATCTGGTGGCAACTCTCCCACTAAGGGGGGTTTAGGGTTTAGGGTTTTTTTTTTTTTTTGTGGAATAATTCTCTTGGGCCGATGCCACATATGTGCCTCTCGGCATGGTGGCAAAGGTGCCTCTCGGCACACTCCGGAGTTCTTATGAGATCCGGTGGCAACTCTCCCACTAAGGGGGGTTGGGTTTAGGGTTTTTTTTTTTTTTTTTTGGATAATTGTCTTGGGCCGAACTTCTCGAGAGGTCACCCATCCCGGTGCTTCACATGCCCAAGCACTTTGGTGCCTCTCAGGCACATTCTTCGGAGATAGATGCCTCTTGGCATAGTGAGATGGATGCCACATATGCCTCTTGGCATGGTGGCAGGGTGGCCTCTCGGCACGTTCTTCGAAGCTAGGGGCATCTTGGCATGGTGAGATGGATGCCACATATACCTCTCAGCATAGTGGCAAGGGTGCCTCTCGGCATGTTCTTCGATGCTCAAGGCATCTTGGCATGGTGATGGAAGGGTTCGTAACACGTGCTGGGTAGTACGATCATGCAGCGGTGCTCTTCAGCACATGCACAACAAGTGTCTTGCAATGCATGCACACGTACTCGAGGACTTCCTAGGGAGGTCACCCATCCGGGGACTGCTCCCACTCGAGCACACTTAACTCCGGAGTTCTTATGAGATCTGGTGACAACTCTCCCACTAAGGGGGGTTGGGTTTAGGGTTTTGGTTTTTTTTTTTTTTTTTTTTTTTTTTTGATAACTATCTTGGGCCTAACTTCTCAGAAGGTCACCGATCCCGGTACTTCACACGCCCAAGCACTTTGGTGCCTCTCAGGCACATTCTTCGGAGATAGATGCCACTTAGGTTTTTTTTTTTGATAACTGTCTTGGGCCGAACTTCTCAGCAGGTCACCCATCCTAGTACTTCACACGCCCAAGCACTTTGGTGCCTCTCAGGCACATTCTTCGGAGATAGATGCCACTTGCGCCTCTTGACATCGTGGACATGCACAACAAGTGTCTTGCAATGCATGCACACGATGGGTTTAGGGTTTAGGGTTTAGGGTTTTTTTTTTTTTTAATATGAAATTTGATTGAGTGATAAAAGTTTGACCTCATTTTGAGGTTACATAAGTGGGATCTCATTTGCACAAACGGCGAGGATGACATGGAGAATTAAAGACCTCTTTTGAAGAGGGGATGTGATAATACATGAGATAGACTCTAGTGCACTCATCTTACTTGAAGATGGTTGATAAGTCTTCATTATTATGAGTTAATAATTAGTAAATAATATAGTTTTAGCCTTAACTCATGATAAATAGACTTATATTTGTGTTAAAGCATGAAAAGTGGTTTTCAGTTGATTAACGTGAATTTTTGGGTAATTATGTGATTTTATATGATTTTTACAGTCTTAGTTTTGAGATAAATGAAGAACAAGAAATAAAAATAAAAATATTGCAAAATGGGGGGATCCGCCGACCAGCCGGGCCCGCAAGCGGGTCGGAAGCGCAGTCGGGGAGTAGCCGCGAGCAGGGGCTCAAGCGGCTTGCTTGGATCGATAGGGGCACGTGTGCGCCACTCCCCTTCCACGTCACCAGTGGTCAGCCGGCTGTGGGGCAAGGAGTGATCGTACACGCGAGAGGACTTTGCCTAGAAAGTTAACTTTACTATATATTCGCCCGAATAATCCGCGCACAACCGATGTGGGACTAAATGGGCAGGCGACCGCCGCGCGTTCGAATCCTCCCAAAGTCAAAATTCATATATTTTTAACTGATTATCACGACTTTCCTGCAGATCGCCGGTGAAGGATTAAGCAATCGGAATCGCTGGATCATCGGCGAAAATCTCGTCAACGCGATTCGCAGAGCATTGCTACTAAAATTTTTGAACGATTCGCGATAAAAGGATCGCAATCCATCGAGTAAATCATCTCCGATTGATCGACGAACAAGCCGTCGTCGGGAAGAGGACGATCCGCCGGGAGACCAGTCGCCACCTCCTAAGAGCGTACCAGATGCGATGAAGAGCCTCCTCTTGCTGCGCGGACCTGAGGATGAAGCTCTCTAACATGCGCCTCACCTCCATCCAGCCCCTCTCTGTCGGGTGACAGCCGCCGGAGAGCCGCAAAGTCGCTGTTTTTCCGCTCCGCCGGGTGACAGCCGCCGGAGACGATTCGACGACCCACTTCATTGGTCTCTAGACTTCACGAGAAGATCTAGAGATTGCCCACATCGTCTTTGTCCAAGGAGAGCCTTCAAGGCCGTGGACACTGCACGACGACCCTCCCGAACGCTCAGGATTCCGGTGCATCGCCGATGCGTCGCCGTCGCGACGCCGGAACTCTGTTTTCCTGCTTTATCTAGAGATTGCCCACGTTGTCTTTGTCCAAGGAGAGCCTTCGAGGCCGTGGACACTGCACGACGACCCTCCCGAACGCTCAAGATTCCGGTGCATCGCCAACGCGTCACCGTCGCGACGCCGGAACTCTATTTTCCTGCTTTATCTAGAGATTGCCCACGTCGTCTTTGTCCAAGGAGAGCCTTCGAGGCCGTGGACACTGCACGACGATCCTCCCGAACGCTCAGGATTCCGATGCATCGCCGACGCATCGCCGTCGCGACGCCGGAACTCTGTTTTCCTGCTTTCAATTTAATTTACGCTTCATTTAGTGATACTTTGTTGATTTTTATTTACCAAACTATACTTCGTTCAACTACGATTCTTCCGGCTTTTACAGATCTTAATTTGATTAATTGAGTCGTCTGTAATCGCCTACGTAAGAATCACCGGGCGGAACTCTGTTTCCGCCTGATTCGCATTCGCCGGGCGCTGACGTCATCCTGACGTCCGCACCCTTATTTCCTCTTTTTTTTTCGTGAATTTTAAATATATTTCCTTTTTATTTCCTAGTATAAAATTCGTAAGAAAATCGTACTCATTGAGAAAAATTCTGAATAATTACCAGATATTATATTACATCCCTATGATCGACTTGGAAAATTACCACTATTTTTGGGATTTGTATTGAATTATAATTGATATATTTATTTTGAAATACTTCTAAATATCCAAAAATTCGTATTTTCTAGTTTTATAAATTTTATATTTGCGTGATTTAATATACAACGACTGAGTCACGTCAATGGTAGTTGATTTGCATTGGGTTGAAAGAGCCTTTGGTTCATGAAAGTTGGAAGATTTGCTCAACAGTAGTAGAACGTGTAGACCTACATGTTATGCGCCATGAGATGTTCCTGCAAGACAAGAGTTTGTTGCAGTAAATGGTTCTAAGAAATAAATAAAATGGTATAAAGTGGTGAGAAAAGAGTGGTTAGGGTAGTGAGGAGGATAGAACTATATTGGAGCATGACAGTAAGCCCAAATATGAACTTGTCTTCCTAGTGTTGTACGCGTCTAATCCTTCTGGCCAAGATCTTGTTAGTATCATTAGTTGCCGTACTTCTTCTAAGTAGGTAAGAGACCTTTCACCCCACGAGGAATGACTTGGTCTCTATTTCTAACTCTTTTCTTTTCTCTTATTCTCTCTCTCTTCTTTCTCTCTCCTTGAGGGCCTCTTCTTTTACCCTCCACTAATGCCCATTATTTGGTGTACAAGGGTAATTCCCTTTGGAGTATTAGGCTAGTGATTAAGATAAGGGAAGTAGGTTGCTTGGTTTTTTTTTTTTTTTTTTTGAGGGCCCTTTCCCTCATCCTCCACTAATTGTCTATAATGGGCTAGTGATTCCGGGAAAAGAAGTAGGCTGTCTCTCTTCTTTTTTTTTCTTTTTTTTTTTCAAGAGAGAGAAAGGGAGGGAGAAAGAAATAGAGAATCGAGAGAGAGAGAGAAGAGAGAGGGTCAATCCTATGGATATAGATCCTTAGCTTCTCATGGGTTCAAGTTGGCTAATGGTACTAATGAGATCTTGAGAGAGGTGCTAGGTTGGCGATTCACAATTAGTTTGGCAGGTCTGATGTGCTATAGACCTATAGTTCAAAAGTGGGCAGATGCCAATATGTGTTGATAGTTCTATGTCCTCACTACTTGAGGGTGATAGATAGTAGATGTGAGGTGATTATGAGGAGAGTAATGATTGAAAGTAGTGTACCCGAGTGGATTACGATGTGCCTTGTTGTCTGTCTTATGCTGTATCTCTGTTGTGGTCTTCAGCGGCCAATAGTAATCCCCCTTGATCTCCTCCAAGCAATATGTCACTACCGTAGAGGGGCCGGTAGTGGAATGCGGTGTATGCGTAAAGAGGGTATACTGAGTCGCTCAAGTCTATGAGCACCTCGGGCTTCGAGGGGCATGTCCTGCCAAAAAGAGAAGACTGTCCTCCAATGTGATCTGACTCCATGCATAGCAAGGGTGTCGGCTGTCTGATTCCCTTCTTAGAATTGATGCGTAATAGTTGTGATGCGTCTTTGACATCACATGATGTCTGCCCAGATATTCTTGAGCCTCCAATGAGGACAAGAGTCTTGACGTAACATGTCCACTAACACTTTGGAATCAGATTCTAAGACAATGTTAGTAATATGTTGCTCCTCACAAAGGAACAAACTATCCCATATTGCCATAACCTCTGCCACAGTATTAGTTTATATATTATAAAAGTTCGAAAAGGCAAAGAGAATACATCCTGTACTATCGCGTAAGATACCTCCTCCTCCAGATGGTCCTGGGTTGCCTTGAGATGCTTCGTCAATGTTGAGTTTTCACTGTCCAGCTCTCGGTGGTGTCCATCTAACAGATCGGATAATAGTCCAAGTCTGTGTAGGTATGATATGGAGTCCCTAAAGTCCAAAAGCCTCACAAACAGAACGCGAGCGTTTCGTTTTGTTTGGCACTAAGGAATGAGTACTCCGAAGCCATTGTGTTACGTGCCTCATAATCTCTGTGGCACGCATCACTTGGCCTGTAAATCGAGATGAGTTACGTCCCTTCCATATTTCCCATAACATATATGCTATGGAGATACGGATGAAAGGACTAACCTTGACACTCGTTGGTGAGTCAAAGACTCTCCTAAAGACCTCTAGTGGTGGTCTCGTAGGTCTGTACGAGAGCATTGGAAGCCAATTCGCTAGAAGTTGACACCAACACTCGACAGTGATATCACTATAGAAAAATAGATGTTCCATACTTTCGTCCGTCGTGATGGAACAACAATGACATCTCCTTTCCACCTCTTGATCGGTGACAATCACTCAATCATCAGTGGGTAGTCCTCGGTGCATGAACTTCCACAGGAAGAACGAAACAGGAGGTGTGATGGCCAGATGCCATATGAGATTTTCTCAAAATGTCTTTGGGGAGTAGTTTCTAAAGTGCTCCCAAGAGGAGCTGCAAGAGAAACTATCATCTATGGTAAGTGTCCAAATGGGTTGGTCCTCAGTAAAACTCGTCTTAGTCATGGTGATGGCTGGTAACAAGTCCGACGGTAGTCCATGCCTCTCAATAAGTAGGCGAGTGTCTCCTTGGAGAAGTTGGGCTACCGTTAAGCGAGGCCAAGAGGATGTAAAAGTGGTAAAACAGGCCAATGGTGTGTCCTCTAACCAAGTGTCGTACCAGGCACTGATCGCGTCTCGCCCCACTTGCCAACGAATAAGGGGCACCATCTCCAACCAATGTCGCTGCCAATCTGCCCATTGTTTGACTCCTTTGATGTCGGCCGGCTGTCGAGCCCACTCACCATATTTGGTTGACACAAAAGAACCTAGCACTGATGGTGTGGTTCTCATCCTCCAAACGAGTTTCTTTTGAAGCATGTTGAGTACATCTTGAGGGCGCCTAATACCTAGGCCACCCTCATCCGTAGGTTGACATGCTTTCTCCCAAGAAACTCAGCGTTGGCGACGAGGTTCCTCAAGTTGTCCATCCCAAAGGAAGGACGTGCATATCCGTCTAATAGTCTGTAAGATGGTGTCTAGTACCTCATGGACTGCCAAAAGGTATAATGGTATGGTCATGAGGACATGGCGTATCAATTGGATCCGTCCTCCAGGGGATAGAAGCTGTAACTTCCATCCCGCTAGTTTCTTCCTCAACTTCCCCACTAGGGCGTCAAAATAGTGTATGCGTCTACGGCCGAGGAAGATAGGACATCCTAGATAGTCAAAAGGTAAGTGTCCATGAGAGAACCCTGTTAGGCCCTGGATGCGTCGTATGGTCCCTATGAGGGTAGAAGGGCCTACTATGAAGCTACTCTTCGAGACATTGACGAGTTGACTTGCAGCTTGCTCATACCTCGAGATAATACTCATGAGCCCTCTAATGGATGTCTCACATCCATTGAGGAAGAGTATCGCATCATCAACAAAGAAGGAGTGTGAGATGATCGGACAACCCCTCTTCGAGTAATATGGTCGGATAAATCCTTGATTGATCGCTCGGGTGAGGGATCGACTGAGGACTTCTTCGACCAAGATGAAGAGGGTGGGTGATAGTGGATCGCCCTGTCGTAGACCTCTCGTGGCCGTGAAGAATGGTGTGGAGCTACCGTTCACTAATAAAGAGAAATGATTCTCCCTAACACATGCATCGACTAGGTCAATGAAGTCGTCGGTGAATCCAAAGCGTCTAAGAACCTTTATGAGGAAACTCCACTCTATCCTATCAAAGGCCTTTTCCATGTCTAATTTGATGATAATGATGGAGCCTCAACAGTCATGGCTAAGGGACTGTGCTAGTTCATGTACTAACATGATGTTATCGTGAATGTACCGTCCCTTGACAAATCCACATTGCTCTGGAGATATAAGTCTATCAAGAAAACTACTCAATTTATGTGGAACGATCTTAGATATAACTTTATAACATACGTTACATAAGCTGATAGGTCGAAAGTCTCTAAATGAGGTTGGGGTAGTCACCTTTGGTATAAGTGCAAGGAATGTAGCCTTCCAACTTCGTGTAAAGACTTTACGACGAAAGATTTCCTTGATAGCCTGGATGAGATCAGTGCCAACGATATCCCAACATGAAATGTAAAAATCAGCTGAGAAACCATCGGGCCCAAGTGCACGATGTCTGCTCATAGAGAAAACTACTTCCTTGATCTCTTCTCCCGTGGGTATGGTCGTCGTGAGAGAGCTCTCATGGTGAGTGACCAATGATGGGATCGAAGTGAGCATATCATTAGAAATCTCAATCGGCTGAGAGGTTAAGAGAGTACGAAAGTACTCAACCCTTGCCTCCTGCATGCGAGAAAGGTTCTGATCATATGTCTCTAAAAGAGAGGTATAATCTGAACGTGAGCGGTGAGCAACCAAGGCATGAAAGAAACGAGTGTTTCTATCACCCTCTTGTAACCACTGGATGCGTGATTTTTGGAGATAGAATAACTCCTGTCGTCGCACAACCTCATCAAGTTGGTCGCTCACTCTACTCCTCCTTTCCCAAGTAGCATCTGAATATCTAACTTGCAGTAGTCTTTCAACTTCTGCTAACTCTTTTTGTAATGCATCAACCTAGGTATGAACATTCCCATAGATATGTCGGTTCCACCATTTAAGGTGGAGTTTGAGATTCCTTAACTTATAGTTAAGGTTCTCCATAGGAGAATCTGAGATATGTCCGTACCAGTGATTCTGTACGAAAATCTTAAAGTCTTTATGTTGGAGCCACATGATTTGAAATCTGAAGGGGGGTCTGTGGGTGCTCATACTCTGTTTAGGGAGTATGAGGATCGGGGTGTGATCTGATCTATAACGGGGTAATATCGTGACTAATATGGGATGTCACACCATGGCGATGCTGTTGATAAAACAATGATCGATACGCTCATAAATCAAAGCGTCCCCTCGATTGTTACTCCACGTCCATGCCTCGCCTGATGTAGGTGGCTCAATAAGAGCTAATCGAAAAATATAGTCATTGAACATCTCCATGTTACGGGCCCTAGGGATTCGCCCACCTTGACATTCACTAGTATTACGAACACAATTGAAGTCACCTGCTAGATACCAAGAAGACTCAACTAGTGTAGGGTAGTCCCTCACGTACTGAACTAGGTCCGCCCAAAGAGTTTCTCTTTCTTCGGATCTATGTGATGCATAGATGACCGAGAAGGTGAACTCTTGGGTGAGATCTTGAACCGTCATAGTGATATGCTGGGATCCCTCGACTAACAACTCCATAGAGTATGGTCTAGTCCAAAAGAGCCAAATATGATTCGTGGGGTTGGAGTGAAAATGATCCATACCTAATCGCCTAAGTAAGGGTTGGATACGATCTGATGATATCATAGGCTCAATGAGGCCTACTATACTTAGTCGATACTGTCTGATAAGGCTAGCTATATAGAATTAGGTTTCGAGGTTACCTATACCTCGACAATTCCATATAATGCTAGGTATCATGATCTAATGAGTGGCCCCACGAGTCCTAGATCTCGTGGAGTAAGGTGAGCGTCTAGTGAGTTGTGTGGTCCTAACCTCTGTCTGATATCCCTCCTCTAAGTAGGTAGTCTCAATGTCTGTCTCAGAGCTACCATCCTCATGGGTACTAATCGTGTGGCCACTAGTATCATGAGTACTAGATGAGGAGGATGGGTGCGGTGCTTAACGATTCGTTAAGCACTGTCTTCTATCGGGGCTCTCTCTAGAATCAGCGAGTGGTGGATCAAGTATAGGGAACTGATCTGGCAGGTGTAGTAGGGGAGAGGGGGGAAGGGTGTAAGAATCAGAACGGGGGGCTACGTAAGATGTACTAATAGGAAGTATGCTGGGGGTAGGCCCTCCTAGTAGATCATCGACGGGGATTTGAGGGGGATGGATAGTGCCCAAGCCTATACCCTCAAAGAAAGGGGTAGACCTCGGTCGGTGGGGACTAAGAGGTGAAGGGCTCTTGCTATGTGGGGAAGAGTGAATGGGCGGGGAGGAGCTGGGTGGTGGAGAGACACTAATGGGTAGAGTGGGGTGGGTGAGTATGGGGGGTCGGATAGCCCGAGGGGATCTAGTATGTGGGGTTTGACTAGGTGAGTCCCTCGTAGTGGGGGATGCTAGCCCTTTGGAAGGCCTAGTTCCCTTCTGTGCAGGTCCCTCAAAGTTTCTCTCATCTAAAGCTTCTAAGACCTCGAAGGTGTTTGAGGTTAGGGGTTTCTTTCCCTTGCCTAAAGGGGAAGGTGTAGCCTCTCGTGTTCCTTTCTTTCCTCCTGTGTGGATGGAAGAAGGGCGTCCAGCTGCCGGCTTTCGCTGTGCATGCTGTGTCTCAATCAGTGACCTAGGCTTTTCTTGTGCCTTCCGAGGTAAGGGAGGTGGAGCCGCCATAGGGGCAGTCAACCTCTGAGGATGACGAACACTCTGAGCATCCTTTCTCATTTCGACAAGGTAATCGTCATATGAGATCGGTACTAAGAAGGCTCATGTGGTCGCTTGTGGTGTACCTACCTTCTGACAACATGTGCTGACAGTGTGGCCCAAGATAGCACAATGTGTGCATAAATATGGTAATCTCTCATAAATGATAGGCTGATAAAGCTCATCATCTCCACTACGTATAACGAGAGTCCTCTGTAGAGGGGCCATTAGGTCCACCTCTATACAAACTCGTGCGTATCCTGGCCGGTTGAACATTTTTACGCCTGGGTCAAGGCATATGAATGTTCCCACCGCATTTGTGAAAGACTCAAGTGCCTTTGGCGTAAATAAATGGGTAGGTAGGCTAGGGAAGCCCACCCATAATGGAACCGCATGAGACTGATGTGCTCGATACCCTATGTCGGTCTGTGGTGTCCATCTGTGGGTATGGAGGGTAGACTCTCCTATTGTCTAAGTGGGTCGGCTCCATGCTCGGCGATAATCCGCTTCTAACTCAAAGCGAATATATATGCTATGATAGTCTCAAGCTCCGATGGAGACTCGGTCCTGAAAATTTCTAGGTGCCAAGTAAATCTTTTCTATGTCACCTATGGTTGGTCATTTCGTAGTGAAACGACCAACTAAGGTATATTGGAATGCGACTGCCATCTGGGAGACCTCCTCATAAGTAAAAGCTATTGTCCTCCTCCCATCATCCTCGCTATAGCTTCGTACTGGGACAATGGTATCATAGAATGGGAATAGTACCTGACGTAGCGGTTCCTATGGTATGACAATCTTTGTTTAGGGTTTAAGATTTAGGGTTTTTTTTTTTTTGAAGAAATTTGATTGAGTGATAAAAGTTTGACCTCATTTTGAGGTTACATAAGTGGGATCTCATTCGCACAAGGGGCGAGGATGACATGGAGGGTGAAAGACCTCTTTTTTTAGAGGGGATGTGATAATACTGGAGATAGACTCCAGTTCACTCATCATATTTAAAGAAACCGGTTGATCTGCATTTGGGCTGAAAGAGCTTTTAAGTTCATGAAGTTGGAATATCTAGTTGACAATAGTAGGACGTGTAAACCTCCATGTTGTGCACCATGAGGTGTTCCTGCAAGACAAGAATTTGCTGTAGTAAGTGGTTCTAAGAAAGAAAATAAAATGATATAAAGTGGTGAGAAAAGATATGTTAAGACAGTGAGGAGTATAGAACTATGCTGGAGTATGACAATAAGCCCAAATATGAATTTGCCTTTCTAGTGTTGCACGCGTCTAATCCCTCTGGCCAAAATCTTGTTAGTACCATCAGTTGCCGTACTTCCTCTAAGTAGGTAAGGAAACTTTTCACCCCACGAGGAATGACTTGGTCTCTTTTTCTAACTCTTTTCTTTTCTCTTATTCTCTCTTTCTTCTTTCTCTCTTTTTGTTTTTTTTTTTTTTTGAGGGCCTCTTCTTTTACCCTCCACTAATGCCCATTATTTGGTGTACAAGGGTAATTCCCTTTGGAGTCTAGTGATTGGGGGAAGGAAAATAGGTTGCTCGCTTTTTTTTTTTTTTTAAAAAGAGAAAAAGGGAGGGAGAAAGAAATAGAGAATCGAGAGAGAGAGAGAGAAGAGAGAGGGTCAATCCTATGGATATAGATCCTTTCCTTCTCATGGGTTCAAGCTAGCTGATGGTACTAATGAGATCTTGAGAGAGGTGCTAGGTTGGCGATTCACAACTAGTTTGGCAGGTCTGATGTGCTATAGACCTATAGTTCAAAAGTGGGCAGATGCCAACATGTGCTGATAGTTCTATGTCTTCACTACTTGGGGGTGATAGATAATAGATGTGAGGTGATTATGAAGAGAGTAATGATTGGAAGTAGCGTACCCGAGTGGATTACGATGTGCCTTGTTGTCCGTCTTGTGTTGATAGGCAAAGTGCATTTCACATCGGTGGTATGGGATGAGCGCCATGATGATGTCATGGTTGTGGCTTGTGATAGACCTGAAAACAGAAACAAAGGAAACACGTAACTATATCTCCATTGTGGTCTTCAGCAGCCACTGCCACGGCCAATAGTAATCACCCTTGATCTCCTCCAAGCAATACGCCACTGCCGTGGAGGGGCCGGTAGTGGAGTGCGGTGTATGCGTAAAGAGGGTATGCCGAGTCGCTCAAGTCTATGAGCACCTCGAGCTTCGAGGGGCATGTCCTGTCAAAAAGAGAAGACTGTCCTCCGACGCGATCTGACTCCATACGTAGCAAGGGCATTGGCTGTCTGATTCCCTTCTCGGAACTGATGCGTAATGGTTGTGATGCGTCTTCGACATCGCATGATGTCTGCCCAAATATTCTTGAGTCTCCAATGAGGACAAGAGTCTGCACGTAACATGTCCACTAACACTTTTGAGTCAGATTCTAAGACAATATTAGTAATATTTTACTCCTCACAAAGAAGCAAACCATCCCGTATTGCCATAGCCTCTGCCTCAGTATTAGTTCGTATATTATAAAAGTTTGAAAAGGCAAAGAGAATGCATCCTGTACTATCATGTAAAATACCTCCTCCTCCAGATGGTCCAGGGTTGCCTTGAGATGCTTCATCGACATTGAGTTTCCACTGTCCAACCCTTGGTGGTGTCCATCTAACAGATCAAATAGTAGTCCAAGTCTGTGTAGGTATGATATGGAGTCCCCAAAGCCCAAAAGCCTCACAAACAGAACACGAGCGTTTCGTTTTGTTTGGCACTAAGGAATGAGTACTCCGAAGCCATTGTGTTACGTGCCTCATAATCTCTGTGGCACGCATCACTTGGCCTGTAAATCGAGATGAGTTACGTCCCTTCCATATTTCCCATAACATATATGCTATGGAGATACGGATGAAAGGACTAACCTTGACACTCGTTGGTGAGTCAAAGACTCTCCTAAAGACCTCTAGTGGTGGTCTCGTAGGTCTGTACGAGAGCATTAGAAGCCAATTCGCTAGAAGTTGACGCCAACACTCGACAGCGATACCACTATGGAAAAATAGATGTTCCATACTTTCGTCTGTCGTGATGGAACAACAATGACATCTCCTTTCCACCTCTTGATCGGTGAGAATCACTCGATCGTCGGTGGGTAGTCCTCGGTGCATGAACTTCCACAGGAAGAACGAAACAGGAGGTGTGATAGCCGGATGCCATATGAGATTTCCCCAAAATGTCTTTGGGGAGCGGTTTCTAAAGTACTCTCAAGAGGAGCTACAAGAGAAACTGCCATCTACGGTAAGTGTCCAGATGGGTTGGTCCTCAGTAAAACTCGTCTTAGTCATGGTGATGGCTGGTAACAAGTCCGACGGTAGTCCATGCCTCTCAATAAGTAGACGAGTGTCTCCTTGGAGAAGTTGGGCTACCGTTAAGCGAGGCCAAGAGGATGTGAAAGTGGTAAAACTGGCCAATGGTGTGTCCTCTAGTCAAGTGTCGTACCAGGCACTGATCACGCCTCGCCCTACTCGCCAACGAATAAGGGGCACCATCTCTAACCAATGTCGCTGCCAGTCTGCCCATCGTTTGACTCCTTTGATGTCAGCCTGCTGTCGAGCCCACTCACCATATTTGGTTGACACAAAAGAGCCTAGCACCGATGGTGTGGTCCTCATCCTCCAAACGAATTTCTTTTGAAGCATGTTGAGTACATCTTGACGGTGCCGAATATCTAGGCCACCCTCATCTGTAGGTCGACATGCTTTCTCTCAAGAAACTCGACGTTGGCGACGAGGTCCCTCAAGTTGTCCATCCCAAAGGAAGGACGTGCATATCCATCTAATAGTCTGTAAGACGGTGTCTGGTACCTCATGGACTGCCAAAAGGTGTAATGGCATGCTCATGAGGACATGGCGTATCAACTGGATCCGTCCTCCAAGGGATAGAAGTTGTAACTTCCATCCTGCTAGTTTCTTCCTCAACTTGCCCACTAGGGCGTCAAAATAGTGTATGCGCCTATGACCGAGGAAGATAGGACATTCTAGATATTCAAAAGGTAAGTGTCCACGAGAGAACCTTGTTAGGCCCTGGATGTGTCGTATGGTCCCTATGGGGGTAGAAGGGCCTACCAT